AAAATCTGGGAGCTTATTGGAATGCCATCCAGATGGAAAGGTGAGAGAAAATTCTACTCAAACCCAGAGTTTACAAACCTAAAAGGCCTGGGCTTTGGGGAGATTTTACACCATGTGCAGAGCAGGCAAGATTATAGCAGCCTGGAAAAAAATCAGATTCCAACCACAAAAACTGCTCTTGTCTTGAACACACATTGAAGAGAAAATAGCCAGAAATTCCCACTGAAAAGGATGCTTTGACTGAAGAAAATGTTCTTTGAGCTCTGTCAAGTACACAGTGTAGAAGAGGCTGATACACAATTATTTTTCTAAATCACTCTGTTCTTTGCAGCATATTTCTCTGGTATTCCCAAGGCCCTGGTTGGTTGGCTGGCTGCCACTCTCTGCCCTAGCCAGGGTCATTGTGCTTTGACTGCTAAGGGGGAGAGAGACTTGAGATCTTGTTGCAAAACATTGATTTGAAGCAGGTGCAGCTTCGAGACAGTTTCTGTTATCTCATCCACCTCCCACATTCCCGTCTGGATTTCAAACTTTGATTTTTTTTTCTTTTCCCTCTTGTCAAGAAAATTTATAGAGCTTGTCCTTCATCTCCTTCCAGAGATATGGCAAAGGGAGGGAAAAACCCAAAGGGGTGCTGTATCTTATCAGGCTTTACTTCCCTGCACTTCAACTGTCAGCTGTAGCTGGGGTGTGATTTCCTCTCAGTCTCTCATAACTGCGGTAAAGAAATTTTCCATGATTTACCACCTGGTTGGTTCTTTGTTTTCTAATTCAAAGAAATGCCAACGTTTTCCTCTTTAAAATTTACTGTTGTTTCCAAACATGCAGATTAATGACAGCTTTGCAATTGTTTATAAAATTTATCACTCATTATATAAAGCTATGCACAAACGGCACACAATGGGGCATAAGGCCCTCTGTGCTTTGTAGTGCTCTCTTTAGGTGCCATTCTACCTTGTCCTTCATGGTACGAGTACAGTCAGGAGTCATCTTGCTATTTATTTCATGTCAAGAGCCAAGTTATTTTTTGTCTTCTCCCAGTTAGACATACAGTCCTTACTCCTTGTTAGCAAAGACCAAATGCAAGAAGTCATCCTGACATCTATGAGAACTATTTTCCTAGCTGCAGCCCTAAAGCAGGAGCTTTACTGTTAACTGACCTTCTGGGTTGGGGCATATCTCTCCTCTGCCAATACCCAATGTTGTCTTTGTACTTATCTTTGTACTAAAATGGACATCGCTTTTCTTTCTCCAGAAGGCTCCAGGTATCTAAATATAAGCTTCACTATCATGTATATGATCCCAAACAACAGCCTACAGAAATTACACCCACTGAGGCAGTGATTCAGAGAATATGCAGTCTGTCTGTGTGGAGAGTGTCACATCCTCCAACCCTATGGGTGACTATTTTTTTCCATTAGTCATAAAATCATAGAAAATTAGGGTTGGAAGGGACCTCAGAAGGTCATCTAGTCCAGCCCCCTGCTCAAAGCAGGACCATCCACAACTAGATCATCCCAGCCAAAGCTTTGTCTAGCTAAGTCTTAAAAACCTCCAAAGACGGAGATTCCACAACCTCTCTGGGTAACCTGTTCCAGTGTTTTACTACCCTTCTAGTGAGCCAATTCTTCCTAATGTCTAACCTAAAATTCCACATTACTTGCTGCAACTTGAGACTGTGGCTCCTTGTTCTGTCATCTGCCACCACTGAGAACAGTCTAGCTCCATCCTCTTTTGAACCCCCCTTCAGGTATTTGAAGGTTGCTATTAAATCCCCTCTCAGTCTCCTCTTCTGTAGACTAAATAAGCCCATTTCCTTCAGCCTATCATGATAAGTCATGTGCCCCAGCCCCCAAACCATTTTGTTGCCCTCTGCTGGACTCTGTCCAATTTATCCACATTCTTTCTGTAGCGGGAGGCCCAAAACTGAACACAGTACTCCAGATGTGGCGTCACCAGGGCTGAATAGAGGGGAATAATCACTTCCCTGGACCTACTACCAACACACCTACCAGTGCAGTCCAGTATGCCATTAGCCTTCTTGGCAACAAGGGCACACTGCTGGCTCATATTCACTGTAACCCCCTTTTCTGCAGAGCTGCTGCCCAGCCAATCAGCCCCCAGCCGGTACTGGTGCATAGGATTGTTCCATCCTAAGTGCAGGACTTTGCACTCATCCTTGTTGAACTTCATGAGATGCCTTTTGGCCCAATCCTCCATTTTTTCTAAGTCACTCTGAATCCTAGCCCTACCCTCCAGTGTATCTACTACTCCCCCCAACTTGGTGTCATCTGCAAACTTGCTGAGGGTGCTCTCTATGCCATCTTCCAGGTCATTGATGAAGACATTGAACAAAAGACACTGGCCCCAGGACCGACCCCTGGGGGACTCCACTTGATACCAGATGCCAGTTGGACATCAAGCCATTGATTACTACTCTCTGAGCCCAGTACTCCAGCCAGCTTTTCTTACAGTCCGTTCATCTAGCCCATACTTCCTTAGCTTGCCTTCGAGAATGTTGTGGGAGACCGTATCAAAAGCCTTGCTACAATCAAGGTATACCACATCCACCAGTCTCCCCACATCCACAGAGCATCCAGAACATCTATACTAACAATGCAGCACCCCCATAACTGTATTATAGCATATTTGTGTGATAAGACTTCCCTACAGCCTTCTCCAATACTAAAATATTCTTTGTGGCTGTGCTAAAGAGGATTACATCTATGTTCAGCACTTAGAGACTTAAAATATAGCTTCTACAATACTACCAGCATCTTTTCAGAAGGTGGAACTTTTACATCAGTAACATGCCCAGCCCTACCTCCAACATTAACCTCCAGGACAGTCCAGACCCCAATATTCTCCAAAGACCAGAAATGTTGCCTCCTTCCATGTTCCCTCTTCAGGCGGGGATCACTTCTACACTGGTCCTAGCCCCTGGAGGCAAAACTTTGACTTTGTTTATAAGCATTCAGTTTGCTTCTCGGCCAGTTATGAGGAGTTCATTTTTAGGGGATGGAATCAGTGACATAAGGGGTGTGTGTACACAAGCTTTTAGGTGTGCCTAAACTTAATGCACAATAGTCTAATGCACATTAAGGTGATTTAGGCGTGCATCTATACATGCACACAATAAGGCGCATCAATGCAGGTGTGCAGACTGACTTGGGACTAAAGTTAGTCCCAAGTCAATGGACACACACTGTGTTAATGCACATTAGTGTGTCTACATGTTCACTAATGTGACTCAGCTATTTGCACATAAATTTGATACGTGCTTTATGCAGGTATCAAATTTAGGCTCAAATATCCTAAAATTGCCATGTTTAAGGTACATTAAGGACATGCACATGTAGATGCACGCCTAAATTGGGCTAATGCGCATTAAATGTGCACTTGTATACATGCCCAAGAGGCAGCAAACTGAATCAGTCCTCAAGCTGTTTGAATTTAGTTGAAGTAAATCTTGCTGGCTGAAATACTGTAAGAGTGGATAGGAACATTCATATTCACACAATTCATATTCACACAATCCATGATATATGCATAGTTAATTTATGTAGTTTAATCCATTTTACCCACACCAAAGGGTTAAGATTAAACTGTATTTGAGTCAAAACAAGGCCAGCAACACCTGTCTTAGCACAGTAGAAAGAGAACTGAATTAGGCAATTACTTATGCCCACAGATTAGCCAAAACAATAAAGGTGCTGAAGCTTTGCTTGGCTTGCCAACACTGCAGACATACAGAGTTCAACCAAAGTATTCACTATCTCTTCCTCTCTCCTAAAGATTCATGCACATCTGGACACTGACACTTGGAGGTAGGGGAAAATATTTCATGTGATAAAAATCTGCACAGTTTAAATTGCACATAATAAAAAAGACTTCCACAGACAAAGACTAGAGGTACATCCAGTGTTCCTGTTTTTCCTCTTGTGCATAAGGCTCTCCTACTCTACTATACCAAGCATTTCCTCAGTCAATAAAATTTGGGCTTGATTTCATGGTGTTTGGCACAATGGTTTTTAAGAGTTCAGAGAAGAATTAGAAAATTATGGCTGAGTTTAAAAGATTGTTCAATTATGCATGAAAACTGACTGAGGAAACGGAATGCAGAGTCACTCTACCCACCCAGATTTCATTTTGCAAGTTTCATATTGTCTCATAAGAAATTGTCATTGGTTGTGAAAATTATAAGGACAAGACACTAAGGCCCAAATACAACTCACCTTTAGGTGGGTAAGTAGCCACTTACACAACAGGTCTTGCTCTTGTGAAAAGAACTGAGAAAGGATCTGTTCCAGGCACTTATTCTCCATGCACGTGGAAGGCATGTCAGCTCCATGTAAATGAGTGCCATGTAAATCCCTAAAACATTGGTCACAGAAAACCACAGCTAGTGATTTTCTGGAAAATGTGGATGGCTCTCCTACCTTATAGCCCAATAGTTTAGTGGCTCGGGGACTTGCTTGGGGGTGGGATACTTAGTTTCCAGGCTGCTTCATTCAGAAGGAATTTGAAACTACATCTACTTCCCAACAAAGTGTCCTAACCATTAAACCAGGGTCTGAGCAGGGCCAAGAACATCCTCTTTCCATCTCATCAAAGCTAACCTACTGGGCAGCCAAGAGGGGAAGCTTATGTGAAGCCAGAAGCCGAGCAGGCCAGAGGGAGTGTGCACTTGGGTGGGGGTGTGTGACCTCGACCCTGTCAAATGGTGTTTTTGCATTTAATTGTCATTGGATAAAATGGACAGACAGAAGTGGAATAACTTCTCTGCTTTGGGACAGAAGCTGTGGCCTTTACAAAATCAATTCCTTTTTAAACTTCAGATTAATATATTGAAGCTCTTTGGGGCAAGGACCATGTCTTTGTTCTGTGTTTCTGAAGTGCCTAGCACAGTGGGGTCTTGGTCTACAACCAGGGAATCTCTGTGGTTTCTGAATGGCATTTGAAAAGAGTGCTTAACCTCTCCTTTCCTCCCAACCCCCCAGGAGCACATTTACAAACTGATGAAGAGTGACAGCTACGCACGTTTCCTCCGTTCTAATGCTTACCAGGACTTATTGCTGGCAAAGAAGAAGGTACCTGTTGGAAAGGACATGCTTGCTCCTCTTAGCACCTATTGATTCTCGCCTGCTGCTTGCTGCTAGTGTGAAAATAAGAATATTGTTGCTTTTTCTTTTCTTTTCTTTTCTTTTTTTTTTTTCTTTTTCTTTCTTTAAAACAAGAATGAGAACATTTGTTTTCTCTACCTGAAAAAGCCCATGGTACGGCATCCCCATACACAGCCTCGGCAGATGTGGGGAAAAGATAGACTGGCCAGCCAGTAAAAACACAGAACATGGAAAAGATGCTCATACCGCACCAGCGTCTTCCAGACTCAATGGAGGCATTTAAAATGGCTCTGTCATTTTGTCATGACAAAGATCATATCATATATCAGAATTAGAGCCCATGAATCTGGTCATTTGCTATTCGGGGAAATAAGAATGGGGAGATGCTGCAAACCTCGTAAGTCTAACGATGCGACCTTCCCTTTGGATGCCTTACCTGGAGACCTCCTTGGGGTGTCTGACCTCTATCTCCTTCTCTTTCCCCTGCTCTTTGCCCTCCCCCTCCCTCCCCCTCCCTCCCCCCCGAACTTTGCTTCTCTTTTGAGGCCAGAAGTAACTGCAATCCAGGCAGTAAGTGAGCCACATTCTTTACAAGAAAAAAGGGTTTCAGTCGTAAGGTGACAGCAACCTATTTTCTGCAAGGAATTCCCAACTCAAAAGAGTAGCTGGTTATATAGGATTAAGTCAGCTCTTACCCAGCCAGTTCTGTTCCATTTGGGGGAGTTGGGAGGTAAGATACTTATCTCTGTATTTGTGGCTGTGCTTAAATGCTTTTTCTGCCTCTTGGCTTACTCCAGGAGTGTGTACACATGTGTATGTACGCATGTGCACGTCCCATTTATACCGTAAAGTTTTGACTTCCAAGACAATTATTGCAGCCTAAGCATGTGGTTTTCCATCATTTTGTTCTCTGTTTTTCCTCCCCGACATACTCTGTGTGCTACCAAATGACAGAACACTGGCATAACTCAGAGAAATCCCAGTGGTACTTTAGATCCTGATTGCTACTGTGCATCCTTACAGTGTGTATGATGACATAATGAGTCAAACTTTACCCTCTGCTGTGCCTGGCACGAGCATCAGTTGCATTGGAATGATGTAATTGAGAGCATAAACTGGCCTGGTGTCAAAACCAGCTGGTCTGAGACAAATATAGACTGGAAGAGGAAATGTGAAGTCCTATCTGACATTTGAAATTTAAGTTGCAGGTCAGAATTCAGAGGTTGGGGGAAAAGAAAGCAGTGCATTAAAACTTCTGAACTGCCTTTGATGATAGAGAAATTAAAACCATTTGCTGCTCTTCTTATCCCTGTCAGTTTCCAGTTTGGCCTCCCTTACACAACATGAACACATAAGGATTCATGTGTTAATTTGAAGGAAAGTTCTCCCCCCAGCTGAGCCAGTTCTAAACCAAGATCTCTTTAGAAACATTGTTTGCTGTCAGATCAAGCGCTGGACCTGTCAGCATGACTTCCTCTTCCCCCACTCAGACTGCCTGGGGAGCAGAGTCTGTGGCATGCTAACAGTGCAGTGGAAGTCAGAATCTAGTTTCCATTAGAAAGGGTCATGGGTATTCTGGTGAATTTAGCCAAGCACAAAAAAGACAGTGGTAGAAATTATGCAAACATGCAGTTCGCCAGCTTAACACACAGCAAAATTATAATTACTTCAGAAGCTCTGAAACTTCGCAGCCAGGTTGTAATAAATGTTGTTGTACCACTGAAAGCACAGAGATGCTGGCTGAAAAAATAGGAAGCTGTCATGCTGAGCTTCCTAATAAGATCCTTAGGAGTTCCAGCGCAGATCTGATCCATTCGTGTATCTTGAGACAACCTGGGAAAAAGGGTGAGGGATGGGGAAGCACAGTGGAATACCAGAGCCTTAGGGGATTGAGAGGTTGAGTCCCTGGTAGGTGGACCTCCAACACTTCCTTTTATTCAAAGGACATTTCTCATTTTGAACCTAAATTACCTCTTTTTCACACCAGCATGGTGTCTCCTGATTTTTTTTGTTGAAGATTAATTCTAGCAGAAGATTATAGAGTTGCTTTGTTTACACAAAACAAATGAATTGCATGGCATTTCAAGGTTTGTGTATGAACAATGTGTGTGTGTCTTTTGTGTTGGGTCTTTGTTAGACATTGCTTCTCTCACACAGTGCCTTGGCTAGTTGAGATGTACAGTGGAGTGGGAAGGGTGGTCTTGTGGCCAAAGCACAAGAGGAGGAGTCGTGATAGCTGGGTTCTTTCCTTGGCTTCCCCACTTGTTTTCTTATTTGACATCGGAGAAATCTAATAACTTATCTTTGTTTTTTATTCTTCTCTTTGTAAAGGACTGACCTGCCTGGCAGACATGTTGTGAGACATAATTGATAAACATCTGTAAAAATATCTGGCACATTTCAAGTTCCTGAGCTGAAATCATAATAATAAGTGCAAAGTATTATCATTTTTCCACATCACATAATAACTGCACACATAAGAGTTCCTGGTCTGCAGGCTAGGAGAGAAGTGAGCATGGACTTTGGTATGCTGGGAGCAAATTAGCTGGGTTATGAGAAGGAGTAGGAAGGGTAACACGTACACAGCACTCAGTGATTAGGGACCAAATATAGAGCACATGTGCCTTATTCTTATTCATTCACTATGGATTTTTTCTCCTTTCCTCTCAGTGTTGTTACTTTATTCATCACTGTATATTGGCCTGGGTGCTGCCAATTTCTGGTGCTTGGGGAGTGCAATGTTGGGCTCCAGCATGAGTGTAAGCAGAGGTCATATGTAGGTGTTAGACAGGTAAAGAGCTAGGTGTAATTCTCTGCAGTCCATGGCAGTATTTCTTTTTTGCATGCCTTGGCCATGAAAAGATGTAGACAGAGCATTGGAGAAGTGGAATTTAGCCTGGCTCTCAGCATAAGGACAAGTCTCTGTTTACTTCTCCATCTGGCCTCATACCTGTAGCGAGGCAGCTGTCACTGGGCTGCTCTCTGCAGGAGCATCATCAGTGCTGGCCTGGATTCCACTGCGCTCCAGGGCTGACTCCTTGCTTTGTAAGGTACATGCCATGTGCCCCACCTGTGCTGCACTTAGTCAGACATCAGTCTGTTTGCATTACTGCTATAGATGTATTACTTCAGACTACAGCTTACAGTTGGTTATTATTTATAACCAACATCCTTTCTCCTCATTAGCCAAAAAGATGGCTATATGTTCAGATGATAATGAACCTTTTGTAAGGGATGGCTGCTACAGTTAGGTCTTGACAATCCCACCTGTGTAGAAATTTTGGCTGGATGAACTGGTTGAGTGGGGTTGAGTGTCCATTTACCAGTCCTGGTAAAAAGTGAAGCAGCTCAAACACCACTGCATCTTCAACAGGATGGGTCACCACAAGAACTCAGATGTATGGACAAGAGAAGAAAGGCCTGTTAGACACTGCTAGTACCTTTTGGGGAGAGGAGGGAAGCATAAAGCAGAGTAGCTTTAGTTGCTGCATTTTTTCAGGTGTGAAATTAGAAGCTGAGCAGCTAGAACCATTGTCCCCAAAAGGAAAAAGCCAAGAGGCCCCTTGAGTAACTGTCCATATAAGAACATAGATGTATGGTTACCATAAAATGGAAATCTGGGTGTTGCACATGTAATCTATCTAACACAGGTAGTAGTGTTGCAAATAGCTGGGCTAGCCAGACTCCATCCCTGAACAGTTCAGTTTTGTCCCTGGTTTAATGAATAAAGTACTTCTTAAGCTTAAATAAATTACATAGTGAGTATAACTAAAGAACCTCAAATTATTGTTGTCTGCCTGATCAGGCTGATTGGCAGAGGGGAGGTAGGCAGGGGCTACACATCAAAAGTGGAATAGAGCAGTTACATTGTTTATACCTGTGTTATACATTGAACACCCATAGAAACCAATCAGATTCTAATGATCCCATAAAAAAACCACTACTAGTCACCACAGAGATACCTGTGCAGGTGCACCCTAGTTCACTACTTTGGTATGTGTACCAGCTATTTGTTCCCCCGTTGTTGAGCCTCCCTTCAAGCCTCCCTATCTTCCTGGGAGATGCATCACTTACCATCTTCCAGATGTGATCTGCAAAGCCCTTTGAAACTCCGTGTTTATTGGCAGTCCAGCTGAACCTGGTGCTACATTGCAAGGAGGGAGAGGGAAGTGGGAAACTCGGTTAGAAGCTGAAGCCTTGTTGAACCAAGGTTCTGTTGATGTCTTAGCAAGACAGTGTCAAGGCACAGGGCCTCTAGTCTACTGAACAAGCAGTGGCAGCAAAGACATGACAGCACAGACTTCAAGATGGGCTAGCAACTAGAATATAAACCCTCAGGGGACCCAGGTATGCACTCTGTTTGCTAGCCCATGCTGAAGCCAGTGCCACTGTGCTTTTTCTGCTATTGTTACCCATGCTAGCCAGGTTGAAGCTAGCATAGGCATACCTAGTTACACCTTCATTCTGAGTTATAGACACACC